ATCTTGTGGCTGTTGCCTAGAATGCTTCAAAGCTATCTTTACACTTCATCACATCGGTCTCACCATGGTCTGATGAAATGCTGCAGCTGTGACGCAACTTCCTGGGGACAGATGTAACCCAGCCGTCCGATTGTGATTGCTGCATAAGTAAAACATCAACAACATTAATTTCCTAAAACTTCATAAGACAACAACAACCATGAGGACATCAATTGGCAATGATTGCTTAAAGGTGTACCTGTGTTTTCCAACAGAGTTTTGGGAGTGTTTGGTCTGTTAATGATCTCCACTAGGTGTGGAAGGACCATCCCCACATACGGCTGCATTTCTGCTCCTGGAGTCAGAAACAGTTAAAAAACACGTTAAACTTATCAAGTTCTCTTGTGTTTGTTTGAGAAAACATTTCACTTGTAGATTAAAATTGTATAATTTGATGATGTACCATCAAATGATACATTCTGTAACAATTAGGTTAAGAATTATCACTATATAAAGCCATGAATCAAACTGTACAAGAGAGAATGACTGGATCAGACGACATAATGGGAACAAAGTGCATCATTTTATGTCAGTGAGCTGGGTGTTTCATCATATCCAGACATTCGCCACCTGTTTTCCATTAAAAAAATTAACAACATAAATGCAAACAACTGCCTCACCCATTTGCATGGCGATCTCTCCAATGGCCCAGGTGGCATTGTTGCAGACTGAGATAAACTCTGGGTTCAGGTTGAGCCCAAGGATAGGCATGAACTCAGCTATTAAAAAAAATAAAATAAATCAAAATTCAGTTTAAAATTGCATTAGTTATAACAACAACAGCAATAACTCTATGAAATGAGGACTCTTTGACACATACACAATACGATTGAATAAATCAAAGGTCAATTGTATTCAGTTTATTTTTTATTTTTTAGCTAAACATTTTGTCAAGAGACATGGTTTTTCTTTTCTTTTAATTTCTGAGAGAAAAACAACCAGATAGTCTAAAGTCATATAATTGTTCCCATAACACAAACTTACCGATACATGGCTTTACATGAACGAAGCAGGCTTTAGTTAGATCACCCAACAGTGCAAAAGAGCTTTGTCTCACTTCAGGCATCGTGTCCTGCAAAAAACCAACGCCTCAGTGTCAGAGACCTGAAAGTCTCATGGTGCATTATTGTTTATGCTTTTCTTTAAGTGACTCCTGGTCAGACCTACTTTGTAAACAGATGGATGGCAATCCTTTTGAACTTTTAGAATTAATTTAGCTAATGATATGCAAATGACATACAAACTGACTATATAGCTGGGAAAAATTATAAACAGTTAAATTACAGAGACGTATGCCAAAGAAAATTTCAGTTTGTTATTTTGTTAAGTCTAGAAAAAAAATCATGGATACTTAGATTACAATTAATTTTTAAAGCTATTAGAATTTTAAGTATTTAAAAAACTAACATTTATTCTATATAATAGTATTAATAAGTATTTAAAAAACTAACATTTATTCAAGTTCGAAAATAGAATTAATTCGACTAATTAATAATTTTAGTAAAGGTGAGTTATGTTGCTTACAAAACGTCACAATGAAATATCTACTTATTTGCATGCGACTGTATGAGACATACCTGCATGCACTGGAAAAGCAGGGTCATGATGTTTGACCGGGCAACCAGCTGCTCCACGCTCCCACTCAAACCCTCAGCAAGTCCACTCAGCAAATCCAGGGCCACGATCATGAAGTCCTTGTCGGGAGCCTCGTACTGATCTGGATGCTGGTTGTACATCTGTGAGAACAGAACAATTAAACACTTTGCATTGACACTTTTAATAAGCTTTTTCATATGTATTGTGCGTGTGTAGTGTTATTGTGGTAACCCTACCATAGCCTGAGCGAGAGTCTTTTGTACCAGTGTGACACAACGCTGATAAACAGGCTCACAGTACGGTAGGAAGCCACTTTGCAAAGCAGTGGCAACAGATGATAAACACTGAGGAAAAAAAATAAAATAAAACACAAAGGTCAATTCTTAAGACAGCGCATTTAATGAACGGATGAATGAGTTTAAGGCTAAGGCAAGAAAAACCTTCAGCACTCATCCTAATAGTCAAGTACAGATTGGTTCAAACTAAAATTGAAAGGGCCATATAAACATCAATTTGCTTAGCATCAAGTATAATCTCTTACCTCTAACAGTGGAAATAAATCCTTGTCTTCATCCTTCAGCTCGTTCCACTTGGCAATTAACGGTGGCATTAATTTCTGAATGTACTCCTGTGGAATGATAGGAAAAACATGAGAACCAAGCACTTGAACATTTTCTAGTGAGTGGTAGAAATCTTCTTAGCAAACACCAATCAAAATAAAGGTTCAAAAACATCATTCTGCATGGGTTTTGTCTGTGGTTAAAAAACAAAATTTGGTCACTTACAGGTTGGTTGAGGTGGTGACCCACAGAATCTGCCAGAGTTCCTATTGCATCATAGAGGATGAGGAGATTTTTGTGTTGGTATTTTCCAAATGCAAAGACCAACGTGTCCAGAATAAAGCTCAGATAAGGAACCAGCTCTGTGCAGGCCTCCTCCTCCAGAGTGGCAAATGCACTAAAAAAAAGAAAAAAGGTCCAAAACTTAGCTGTCTAACAATTGTCATTTTCAGGCCAGGACTAATAAACGCATGGATGTGGATCAGATATTAATATGGGAACAAAGTGTATCATCGTTTTTCAATGAGCTGGGTGTATCATCATATCCAGGCATCAACAAGAAGTTAAAAAGCTTAAGTGTCCGAGTGCTCACCTGCAAGCGGCCTCCTGCACCCGCTTGTTACTGTCCAGGATGCGTTTCAAGAGCTCTTTCATGAGAGGCTTGAGGTAAGAGTCTGGTGGCTGAGATACCACCCAATGTGCGTAACGACTCAGGGTCCAACAGGCGATGGAACGCACCAAGGCCTTCTTGTCACAAAGACACCGGATGAGATGGGGTATCAACTCGGGCAGGTAGGGCACCATTCCCTGCATGCAGCCTGAGCCATGAGGAGACATGATCAGAACAATTACTACACCCTGAGCTTGTGTTATTAGTGTTACAACAAGTCTCTGGCTGTAGTTTTAGTATAGAATAAACTAAGAGTTCTACATATTTTCATTTAAGGAAAAAAAAAACATTTATTGAGAACACACAAACTGTTCTTAAGGGGAAGGGGAGTGTCATCTACCAAGTCTTACCTTCAGCAATGGCTCCCAACACCAGGATACCAGACTCCTTGACGACCCAGTCAGGGTGAAAGAGCAACTCTTTCAGAAGTGGAAGGAGATGTGGCAGCAGGTCCTCACGGAAAACATTGGCTAGAACATCCAGGGCTGCTGCTGAACACTTGCCTGCATCGATAACAATAAAACATTTTAGGAACATAAATAATAATAATTTAATACAAATTTTGCTTTATGAATAAATAAAAAAAAACATCCACTCTTTTCTCTCCTATGATAATAAAGACACAAGTGACATTTCAACAAAACTTGATTCACATCTGTATAATTTTAAAAGTCAACTTTTTTTTTTTAACTCACGTAGATTCCAGTCCGACAATGTGTCATCATCGTCGTCGTCATCATCGTCAATGTCCTCGCCCTCCTCACCATCCCCGCCCTCGTGTTGAAGGGTGACAGTACGCGACTTGTGGAAACGAGGTTTGATGTCCTGTTCGCTGTCTGGTACGGCTTCGTCCTCCTCCACATCACCCTGGAGATACAAGATATTATGTAAGCTCTGCTGTAAAGGTGAACCTGAAACAGACTTCCCTCTGGACAGTTTTTCATTAAAATTGCTTTTGGGACAAAGGTTTATTAATAGATATCTGTTTACAATTCAACAAGAAATCTACTGAAAAGTTTACCTTTAACAGTATGATGTCAATCTCAGAATATTTCATCCCATTCACCAAGATGGGTGTCAACCTGTGGTAAAAGAAAATATTAGCTTGAAATTGCAAAAGATGAAGTTCTCTCACTCAAACATGCACACACAATCTATGAACTACTCACTGCACCAAGTGTCCAGACAGCATCTCCTTACAGATGGGTTGCTCTGCCAGAGTCAACCAAAACTCACAGGCTTCGAGAGCCACATTCTCATCAGGATCCTGGGTTCGCTGCAGCATGTACTGCGAGAGGGGACAGGTACAAGAAACGTACGAGTTGGATTTAAACAAGAAAAAAACTGAAAAATGACAGCAGTGTACAACTGTTTCGCAAACTTAGATCAGACAATTAGGAACTATAGGTATCATTGTAAATCAATGAGCTGGGTTTCTCATCACATCCACTGCGAAAAAGACTAAATATATAATCAGATTCTCATCTGAGAGCTGTCCCACATTTACCTGAATGATGCTGTGCATATGAGGGATGAGACGGTCGATGCGGACCTCCAGTAACATGACAAGGGCTCTGCACACATTCTTTCGCACCTCTGAGTCCTCATCTGTGGCCAGTGCAAATAAACTCTAATACAGAAAATGATGAGGAGAAGTAGGACAATCAGAGGACCAAGAGAAATAAAAAATGTACTTTTTGTCCATTGTCCATAGAGGGAAAATCTTATTGGGTATTAAGTGAAACATTTTAATTCATGTTCGCTGTAAGGAAGAGACACATAAGCACAAAATAATATTAAAATAAATTTTAATATTGATAATTCCATTCATTGTTCCACAAAAGGTTCCATCCATCTTCAAGATTTTCCTTATTGCATAGAGCCAACACTAATAAATAGCACTTAGAAACACTCATGTCTCATTGTTCAAATTGCCACTTACCTCAATAAATGTATCAATATTGTCCATTAAAGCCTGGGCCCGGCCAATGATAAACTGGTTTACACAGGCAATGGCATGTGACCTGTGGGAACAACATGGAATATCGTATCAATAGAACACAGTCAACAGTTGTTCATGTAACTTTTAACCTACAATACTTTATTTGAGGTTTAAAAAACTAAAATTAAAAATTCTGGATCAGACAGTATGAATACAAACACCTTCACTTTCAGTCAGATGTCATTATGCATCACATCCAGATTTTAACAACAGGCATATTTTGAAGAAACCCCTGCCTCTTCTCCTGTACCTGATCTTAGGGCTGCAGTGCTTGAAGAACTGTAGGAACTTTGGTATCATGATATTGAGGGGCCTGTTGAGAGCATCGCTGTCCAACAGCTCAGACGAGTCTTCGCAGATCTTCTGCAGTGCTCCAAACGAGCCCTGAGACACGGACATACACAGAAAAGCTGTCAAATAAAAACGCAAACATACAGGGACACAGAGGAGAGAATGAGACTGCATCAGATAACTTAACTAGAAAATGGCCTCAGTACACCGTAATATAGAAAAAAGGAATAAGAAACATTTTCACAGAACCACAGGTTTTTTTTTTTTAAATAGGAAGAAAATTAGATCAACAGTACTATTCCTATACAGGAAACATCAGCTATTAATATTCAACTTTATATCTTAATACAAAAGTATTACATTTTAGCAAAAGCCAGTAACAAATCAGAATTTCATGATCAGTCCTTAACACCCATTGACTTCATTTTCAATTCAAATCACAAACTCTTAATTAACAAAATGTTTACTGGTCCTGTCTAGCAGGCCATGGATCATCTTGATAAACAATAATCACAATAAGCAGTGAATGTGTTTTATGTCCATCATGCAAGGGTAAGTTTAAAGAACCAAAAGATGTTGTGACATTTCTTTCAAGTGTCACACAGTCCATCAGACTGTTAATCCTGTTCTTTACACAACAAATGCAGAGTATATGGTCCAGACTGGGATTGGCGCCCACCTCACAAGTGTTGTAGTCTTCTGAATTAAGAAGGCTGCAGAGCTGGGGCAGTAGTTCAGGCCATGTCTGTAGCTCTCCTTTGGAGGCAATTGTTGTAATCAAGATACCTACAGACACAAAAAAGCAGGGAGGAAAATAATTAAAAGGGTTCACAGAGAGCTTTGTGAACAGAACATGAACAGAATCTTCCTTCACAGGATCTCTGGATCAGACAGTATGAATACAAATACCATCACAGGCAGTCAGGTGTTTTTATTGTGCATCACTTCCAGAGAGAAAGTGGTGAAGATAAGAGGAACTTTGTAACAAATCAACAAATTTGTTGAAGAAAGTGAGTGGTATCAGCATAAGGCAGCAACAAACCACTGACACAAACTTACCAATTGTGGCACGGATGAGTGGTGAAGGGTCACCAATGTTGTTGAGACATTC